GAGTTAGAAGTATGTTGTACAGCTGGGATAGAAGGTTTGAGATGTCTACCTCGTGTATACAGACGGCCTGAAGAGTAACCCCTCTTGAGGCCCTTTGTATCGGTTAGGTCTTCTGTTGGGTATCCGTTAGGTCTTTGGTTAGGTTCTGTTGGGTATCTGTTAGGTTCCGGTCTCTGCTCATTTAGACCCAAATACGTAGGTGGTCGTTTTGTAGCGCCCCCCCAGTTTGCCCAAGGAACGCTACAGGGAAGTGGACTCATCATGCAGTCAGTTGGACGTGCCTTCTATGCCATGTTCCTGACGGTTCCATGACTTTAATATAATCACAGCAGAGGCGTCCTGAGGCCGGGTGTCACCCGGAGCGGAGACCGGGAGACACCCCGCAGTGACGTCATTGCGCATGCGCGGTCGTCTAATTGACGCCTGCCGGCGGCCATCTTGGTGTTGGACCCCGGCAGAGGGAGGAGGGGACGTTCACCCGGGGGGATGAGGTATGCCGCCGAGTTCTCTCCTCTCTACTGACACTATCGGGCTCTCGGTCCATGGCCGAGTGCCCGACTTTTTAGAAGGGGGCGACACTAAAATGACTGTCAGTCATTTTGGTGTCACCCCTCCAATGGTGTCACCCGGGTGCGGGCCGCACCCCCCTTGTGACACCACTGAATCACAGGTTCACTTTAATCTCCTTCACCTGATCAGTAACAGCCCCGGGCATTCGCATTGTGGGATAAGACTCCACACATATCCCAATGGGTGGGGGTGGGGGAATTGCTTCTGCAGTGAACTTTAAGAATGAATTACTCCACACAGCTTTCATCTACATAGGTCAGTGAGAGAGCTGAACTGGTTACATTTGTTTGGTAGATACTCGCTGTACTGCAGACCGGTGTTGTAAAGCTCATGCATGAGTGAGCCAGATCTATCCACAACAAAACCCCGGAGTACACAGTATGTTAGGAGCTCGGTACTCTGACAGACATGAAGTCTCTGGTTTGCCCTGAACATTGTTTTCCTAAACGGAAAGGAGACAAATTTCTTTTTGCATTCACTTGTCTGTTGGAACCGATCGGAGCCTTTACCTTCCCATTCAGACTTACATGTTATGGTACCGCAATGATACCACTAGGGATGCACCGATACCGATACTAGTATCGGTGCCGATACCGAGTATTTGGGTGAGTACTCGTACTCACCCAAATGCTCCGATACCTAGCACGAGTACTTCCTGTATCAGGAAGCCGGGCTGCGCATCATCACACGCTGCCCGGTTTCCTGATTGGCCAAGAAACGGCTCCATGCTCTCTCGTCACTTGTGATGAGAGAGCATGGAGCCGACTTCCCGGCCAATCGGGAAGCCGGGTAGCGTGCAATGACGCGCTGCCCGGCATACCGATTGGTCAGGAAGCTAGCAAATCTGGAAGCCGGGCGCTGTGTAATGACGCAGCGCCCGGCATTCTGATTGGCCGGGAAGCCGGCGTCATGCTCCCTCGTCATCTCATGAATCATAATATTAAGAAAGTGACCTTAAAGCATTAGTTTGTATTGCTTTAGAGAAAATGTGACCTGTCCCTTTAAGAAAAAGTATCGGTAATTGGTATCGGCGAGTACTTGATCAAAAGTATCGGTACTCGTACTCGGTCTTAAAAAGGTGGTATCGGTGCATCCCTAGATACCACACAACACGCTATAACATTAGTGGGCAATGCAGCACACCGGAACATACAGTACATACATTGTGGTGCGTAGATTTAAAAAAAAAAAAAATGTCATACACTTTATTCGATCCATTGCATTGTGTTGGTGGCTCATTCCAATCGGGACTCGCATTAACGCACCACAATGGACAGCACAGACCGGATCCCAACCTCGGCAATGTCTCATCTGGATCCCTGACGGGTTTGCTATAGGAAGCGGGGCTGTGCTTCCTCTGCAACAGTTTTGATAAATAAGGCTCCATTTGTACATTTAAAGCCGTGAACATCTGCTACCTGTTTCAGCCGTTATGTGGATTCCTTCATGTAAAAGTTTATACGTTATAATACTGCGATTACAAAATATATCATTGTAATCAGAAACAGGAGGCTACGATCTCTGAGCAGGTAGATGCGGGGAAACAAAATATTACATTGTAAAGAAAAAGTGAGCGCAGTATTAAACTTGTCACAAACCCGAAGAAAGGAGTTCTACCCAGCGCAAAAGATTTAAACTGAACCTGGGCCGCCATCACCCATCAATCTCGGCTGTTTCCCGGCCATCACCATCCCCGGGAACTTGCCGGCTTTTGGTCGGAGATTCCCGGATTAATCATGTGGTTTGTCGGCTCATCTGCAGCCTGTTGCATATCTCACATAACATAAAGTACAGGTCAGTGCGGGTTGTGATGGAGGTGGCGGTGTGGTGGAGGCAGGGTTTAGATTTCCTCTGTAGGTGTCGCTCAAAGACATTCAATGCAGATGTAACTTAATTGTTCCGGACAAGCAGACACAAAGTCTCCACTTGGGACCTCCTCCTCTGATGTGTTTCTCCCCAGACTAGGCCTTGGTTGGCCTTGTGGGAAATCCGCCCTGAGGACGGGCCACTCAACCCCGACAGCTTATGGCACCTGGTCAGCTAACACAGTGACCCAGTATAATGGCTGCCCGGTACCAGAAGCCAAGCTGTGACTTGTCCTATGCCCCAACCACCACTATATCCAAAGGAAAAAAGCCAATGGTGTTCGATTTAAGCTCAACGCAGGCGTAACTTTATTGTTCTGGACAAGCAGGCAAGAAGTTTCTGCCTGAGGCCACATCTTCTGATGCATTTCACCTAAAACTGGGCTTAATCTATGATTAAAGTGACATTAAACCCTCAGATTTTTTAACATAAAACAATACTGTAATGTGCGCCTCACTATAATCCATGGTTGTTTCCCTTCTCTTTGCTGCTCTTCCTTTTAAATCTTTATCTCTTCTCATGCTTGGGGAGAACTTCCCTTTTCAGCTCAGGGCCTCTTCCTGTAGTGCTGGCTCAGGTTACAAGCCTATACAAACGTATACACAGACACCGTGTATCCATTCCTGAGACAAGGCAGTCTGCTGCAAAACAGAAGTTCTGCAGAGCATGAGAAGAGATACAGATTTAAAAGGAAGAGCCATTGGCTTTTTTCCTTTGGATATAGTGGTGGTTGGGGCATAGGACAAGTCACAGCTTGGCTTCTGGTACCGGGCAGCCAAGAGAGCCCTTTATACTGGGTCACTGTGTTAGCTGACCAGGTGCCATAGGATGACGGGCTTGAGGGGCCCGTCCTCAGGGCCGGATTTCCCACAAGGCCAACCAAGGCCCGGCCTTGGGGCAGCAGGGAGAAGAGGGGCAGCAGGGGTGTGGAATTCCTATCTCCCGATGCCCGGGACATACATTTCCGGGCGCCTGGCGGGTACTTGTTTTCTACATTTAGGCCTGTTTTGGGCAAGCAGGGCTAAATGTACAGCGGGGAAGCCGCCGCTTGTTTTGTACAAGTGATCTTGCCGATCATTCTCCATGGTGGGGGTTGGAGGGTAGGGGGGCGCATTGAGGAACCTGGCCTTTGGGCAGCAGAGAGAGTAAATCCAGCCCTGCTCGCCCTATGCCCCAACCACCACTAAATCCAAAGGAGAAAAAGCCAACATCACCCATCAATCTTGGCTGTTTCCTGGCCATCACCATAAAACGGCAACTTGCTGGCTTTTGGCCGGAGAAGCCGGATTTTTGTGCGGTTTGCCAGCTGAGGTGGCCCCAGGCAAAGACTTTCTGCCTGCTTGTCCATAGCAATAAATCTACACATGCTTTGAATTTTAACA